GAATCTTTGTTGAATGTGATGCAGCTTCTCCTTTTTAATGTTTGTATTTCTGGATATTACAGTGAGGCCACAGCAGGTTTTCAGCAGCAGGGCTGTTTAGTGTTTCATTCCTTCATCTGTGTGTGGGAGTGTGGATGGATCAGGTATCCAGGTGTTGATCAGAGTTTAGATTGATTGTATTTTAATGCTGATTATTAAATCAGGTGGAGCTTCCAGAAATGTTTCCTTAGTTTCCTGATGTCCTTTTAGGCTTCAGTGAGTTTCTTCAGGTTGTTACTGAGGGATTTCCTTTCTCCTCTCTGTTGGAGCTTTTCCTGTGTTTGGAGAAATGAGTTGTGCTGCAGCAGCACCAACTGTCCTTCCTACATCCACTGCAGTTTGCAATCCAGATGTTGGACTGTTCCTGTCTCAGTGGAGGACAATGTGTGTCTGAGAGACATGTAATGTCCATGTTTGCTGCTGAAAGAGACTGATGGTCTGACCCCCCTCCTCCTTTCAGGGTGGAGCCTGCTGGAGGCCGATTCTTGACTCCAGGTCCATGGAGATGTAAGTGTGTTTTTCATCTGATTCATGACAACAAAGCAGCTCACATTCAACCATCTTCAAACTGTCACATCACTCATTCAGGAGTCAAAGTGTCAATAAATGATCAATAACTGCAGCTGGATTGTGTTTGTTCTCTCCATCAGATTCCTGTCAACTCACCATCGACACAAACACAGTGAACAGAAAACTCAAACTGTCTGAAGACAACAGGAAGGTGACACTTGTGGAGGAGCTTCAGTCATATCCTGATCATCCAGACAGATTTGATAATTATCTTCAGCTGCTGTGTAGAACTGGTCTGACTGGTCGCTGTTACTGGGAGGTCGAGTGGAGAGTAGGAGTTTATATATCAGTGAGTTACAGAAGAATCAGGAGGAACGGAAACAGTATAGACTCTATGTTTGGATATAATGATCATTCCTGGAGTCTGAGATGCTCTGATATTGGTGGTTACTCTGTCTATCACAATAACAGAGAAACTCATCTCTCCTCCTCCTCTGACTCTAACAGAGTAGCAGTGTATGTGGACTGTCCTGCTGGCATTCTGTCCTTCTACAGAGTCTCCTCTGACTCACTGATCCTCCTCCACACCTTCAACACCACATTCACTGAACCTCTGATTCCTGGGTTTGGGTTCTGGTTCAGTTCTGGTTCCTCTTCAGTGTTTCTGAGCTGATTTGAGTCTAAAGAGTCTAAAGTTTTTCCTCCTGTCAGAGAAACTCTCTCACTGTTGAACAGATAGTTCAGTCTCTACAATCTATTTCTTGGTGAAACGATTCTGATTGAGTCCTTGGAAACTTTTTCTTCTTCCAGTCCTTTAAAGATGGAAGCTGGGATTATTCCAGGATTATTCCAGGATTATTCCAGGATCTTCATGTTTTTCTGTCTGTTTCCAGTCAAAGCTTCACACTAAATATCAAGATGTTGTTTCTCTTATTTTTCCTTTCATTCATCAGATTTCATTGAAATATTGATCAGTTTTTCTCAATCTGATCATTTTCTGTTTCTATCGGCTCCTATTTTTCTCAACATGTCAGATTTGAATATTAAATCTTTTGTAAATTTGCTGCAGTTTTTCTTCATATGTTTTAAATAAAAAAGATGTTCTCTTTTCTTTCTAAATGGGTTACATGTATTTGTAAAAATGATTGTTGGAGATGAAATTGATGAAAAATAAATGCTGCACACTGTAAGATATTAAAATGTATTTTCCACATCAGAGAAGCGTTTATGTGACAACTACTGGTTTCATGGGGCTTCAGTGTTTTTGAAAGACATGGCCAGTTATTATACCCTCCACAAGCCACGTGGCAGGAACTTTAGCTTCTCCAAAGAGCTTTCATGCAAAACAATAGACTTTGTTAGTATTTCTGGAATACAGTAACCAATCTCCTTCAACTTTCTCTCCATTAGACAGTAAACCAAAACAGTAAGCTTTGGGAAAACACCTGTTATTCTCCTCTGGTCTTGGATTTGGGCCATCAGAAACTTTCTGTGGGCCATTTTCAGCCATGATGCCTAAATGTTCCCCGTTTTGTGTGGTAAAGGCCATTAGATGGATCTTGTGAATAAAGCCTCGTCTCAACCTCTCTGCAGCTCTGCTCCTCTCTCTCCATCATCTGCATAGAAACATTTCAAGATCAACATTTTTCTTCTCTTTCCTTTCTAAATGGGTTACATGTATTTGTAAAAAATGATTGTTGGAGAATAATTGATCAAAACTAAATGCTGCATCCTGTAAGATATTAAAATGTATTTACCTAAACAGATATTATTGTCCTCAGCTTTATTTGACCACAAAAACATGCACTAGCAGTGACATTGTAGGAACACGACTGATGATCATGATCAGCCCTTATCAATATGTTTTATTATTTTCTTCATACATTCTGTTGCAGGTGAATCTGTGGCTGTTATTTTGAAGATGCTATTGAATTGGTTGCATCTGTGTCTCTGCTAAAGTTGCAGGAACATTATGAGGTGCAGCTTGTGAAGATGTGTGTAATGGGGCTGGGTGTATGTTTGGCATATGTGCAGGAATGTGGCTGGCAGCGGCTAAGATGTGTGTGTGTTTAAATTGTCTTGTTCCTGAGCTTCATATATGGAATTCATTATTTTCCTCTTTAGTCTTGTTTTTACCAAAGGGTTTGTAAAGGATTGCAGCTCCTCAGCTTCCTGATCTCCAAAGCAGCATCACTATCTGCATCATGTCTGCTTCTACCTGCCTGTAAAGTCGACGACATCTGCTGCAAAATGTTTCATTTTTCCATTTCTACTGCATCTGCATATTGGTTTTTCTTTTGTTGTTGTGAAATTGGTTCAGTTGGAGAAAGATTATGGTCAGTATGAACTGCAGATGATTCTTGTTCATGTTCTTTCACAGGCGTTTCCTCAGATACTTGATAGACGTCGTCCTGATCACTACCAGGTCCACCTCTGCAGCAAGTGCATCTTTAATTGAATCTTGTAGCTATAATAGTTACAAATAAATCAATGACTGTTTTTAATAAATCTAAAAGTCTCTTATTGAGGGGCAATCAGCAATAAGTGCTGCACACAGAGCTTTCAGTGGGACATTGTGTGACGTGCTTCCAGAGAAACATTAATGACTTTATTAGCCGTTTCTGTTTCCACATGAACCTTTTTCGCCACTTCCACTCGGTTTGACTTTCACAAGCTCAAAAGCTAAACTGGATTCTCAAGGACGTCGCCGCATCTTTACTTCTTCCACTGCAAGAAAGAAGTAAAACTCGCATTTCTTTATGTTGCTCAAAGTACATTATATATATCTTTATCTATCTTAATCTTTCTAAAACATTCCTGTATTAAATAGCAAGGTATAATACTTCAGTTGTGGTTTTAGTATCAGATCATGATTCTATGTTGCTGATGAAATAAAACCGTATGGTGATGACAGTGTATAGATGCAGTGCGCATGCATTGAGAGCGTCTGCTGATCTGACAGAACAAGGGCTAAAAACCATGTTTACGTTGAGAACAATGGGCACAACATAATGTATACATCCAATTGTTAAATGATTTGAACGGCCGAGTGACACAGATATTAATGGCTGTTTTAATAGTAACAATGTAACTGCAAAGCACTATGATAGTGAATGTTCATCTGACCTTCATCAACTCTGGGGTCAACCTGATGGAAGAATCACAAAGATCTAAGAAATCTTCATTACCTAATAAATCTTATATGAAATCTCTCCATCAGAGAGCTGTTGACCAGGCCTTACAGAGTCCAAATGGACACCTGGACTTGTTCCTCCGCTTCCTCCTGGGACTTTCACTGCAGACCAATCAGAGACTTCTACAAGGTCTGCTGACAAAGACAGGAAGTAGATCACAGACCAATCAGGAAACAGTTCAGTACATCAAGAAGAAGATTAATGAGAATGTGTCTGCAGAGAAAAGCATCAATCTGTTCCACTGTCTGAATGAACTGAATGATCGTTCTCTAGTGGAGGAGATCCAACAGTCTCTGAGTTCAGGAAGTCTCCAGATAAACTGTCTCCTGCTCAGTGGTCAGCTCTGGGTTTCATCTTAGTGTCATCAGGAAAAGATCTGGATGTGTTTGACCTGAAGAAATACTCTGCTTCAGAGGAGGTTCTTCTGAGGCTGCTGCCAGTGGTTAAAGCCTCCAACAAAGCTCTGTAAGGACACAGATTGTTAATGCAGTTATATCAATAAATATCAATGTTTCAATTTATATATTGGTGCATTGTCTCGTCAAAGTGTCTCACTGGGGACTAAGTGTAAAGGAGACAGACTTACTTCAGCAGCCGAGCATACTATTATACACTAAAGCCTCAAAGTCCTCCTCTTTATGCTAAAATGTAATTTGAATTCATTTAGTTAATTATGAAATTTTATAATTATCTTTCCAGCCTCCTTGTTGCCTGTAGTTCTAAACTTTAAGGCTGGATAAATTGAATCAATTCTAAACAAAAGGCAACATAAATATGTGCAACAATAGATAGTTCATTCAGTCTTTCAAAAAAAAACATAATTTATTGAAAGTAAAATATTTTATTATGAATTGTTTAATACCATATTTTCCTCCCTGTCTCCTCAGACTGAGTGGCTGTAACCTCTCAGAGAGAAGCTGTGAAGCTCTGTCCTCAGTTCTCAGCTCCCAGTCCTCCAGTCTCATAGAAACTGGACCTGAGTAACAACAACCTGCAGGATTCAGGAGTGAAGCTTCTCTCTGCTGGACTGAAGAGTCCAAACTGCAACCTGGAAACTCTCAGGTAACTCTGGGCTCTTGACAAATTGATGCATCTAAGGTGCAAAATGAAGCATAATTACAGATCCCAGCGGTTGGTTGGCTTTCTTATTTATTCCACATGTTACAAATCCATCCATCCATCCATCAGTTCAGACATTGGGTTCTACCTCAATGTTCTCATTTTCTCATCATGTGATGAATTGTGTGTCTGCAGCTTATCAGGCTGTTTGGTCTCAGAGGAAGGCTGTGCTTCTCTGGCCTCAGCTCTGACCTCCAACCCCTCCCATCTGAAAGAGTTGGACCTGAGCTACAATCATCCAGGAGACTCAGAAGTGAAGCTGCTGTCGACTGGACTGAAGGATCCACACTGGAGACTGGAAGCTCTCAGGTATGGAGGAACCTACTGCAGGAGCAGAGAAGGTCTGATAGAGGAGGAAGAGGAAGAAATGTCTTTAGTCAGTCTGCTGGGAAACATTTAGTTGAAGCTGAATGTTTAATTTGATAATTAAATATTTAGACACCTCATCTGGAGGCAGAGATCATCACCCAGTTTTCTGGAATATTCTCCAGACTAAGAACGGCTCACAAGGAAAATTAAAGAGTGGGATGGTCTAATAGCTTAATAGGGACTCCGACTAAATTAATAAAGAAGTTCAGTTAGATTTCCATGATGATCTACTGATGGCAGAAAGACTTTAAAACAATATTTGATGGAGCTCCAGACCAATCAGCCCCAAGAAGCAAAGAGGAGAATAAAAGTAACTCCATGTTGGTCAGATGGATGTTTAAAGTTCTGGGAAAAAAAAATAAAGAACTTTAGATTTAAACAAAACTCACAACTTTCAGGATTAATAAAATATAAAATACATAAAAAGTGAAGAAAAACAATTCATGAGGCAAAGAAAGAAAGTGAGAATTTTAACAGTTTCATCCATTTAGTAGTTTGATCTCCACCAGGGGGCGACATCTGGAAAATGATCAAAGAATGAAAGGAATCAGGAGAGAATGGAAATCCTTTGTTTTCCAGAGGAAATGAAGAATTGCAGTGAATGATGGTGAAAAAGTAGAATTGTGCTCTGTTGACTGGTAGAAATTAAAAAACAACAATAAAACCTTTTAGACAGATCCAAGAAAAGACTAATGTGTTCAGGTTTCCAGTAGTTGGGAAGCTTTTGGGAATATTCAATAAAGTTTGGGAAAAATTCCCAACGTGTTGGAAAAAGGCAGAGACCCTTCATGTTGGAAAACCAGGGAAATATCCATCCGACCAATCAGATTCCAGATCCACAGCTCTGACGTCACATTTAGGATCAATAATGGAATGGTAATAAGAGAAAGAATCAGATTTTATTGATAAAGTAGAGGGATGATATCAGCCCATCAGATGGTTTAGAAGAGGGAGAGGAAGCATCATGGGACTGCAGAGGTCCTTCACCTGATCCTGTTGTTGGGACAAGAACTTTGTTCCTGAACTTAAGGACATTTTTCATGTTTCTGTACGTAAGTAGATTTAATCCTGGGAACTTTTACTCCACTACATTTTACAGTATCTGTACTTTCTACTTCACTACATTTCTATAGACGTTGCGTTACAAATTACATCCAAGTCACTCTGAGCTTTTTGATTTGTTGGTTAGGTTGAAAGTAATCAATGATTCTGGTGCCTTTGCCTCCATGATATCATGAACTGCTAACTTTCAAAAATTAACCATCAAATCTGAAAAAAGGACAGAGGAAAGTTAAGCTGCTAAACGCTGTCTGAGTTTTGGATGTGAAATTGATTTAGGTTAGAGAGTTTTATGTAATCTTAACAGCTTCTAGCTTAAATCGACTGCAATAAATAAAACAATTAAATGTTGTAAGCAGATATTAAACATATTTTTAACTAGACCCACATTTCTGCATTGATTATTTTTATTGATCTGTAATCTGATCAGAAATGTTTTCATGAGCTTTAAGCAACAAATCATCATCATTAACTAATAAAAGCTTTAAAACAGTTTGTGGGGAATTAATCTGTATGATGTGTTTAACTTGTGAGCCGAGTTACTGAAATACTTTTCATAAATATTGTAATTTATTGAAAATGACTGTAGTTAAGGATCCTAGAGAGACGCAGGTCATCCTGAAATTCTGATGCATAGAATCACAAATTTAAACTAAACTGTCACAGAGAGAAAACACAATAAAACATGATTCATGTGCAATTTGTTCATTACTGATTGTTCCTGTCTCAGTGGAGGACAATGTGTGTCTGAGAGACATGTAATGTCCATGTTTGCTGCTGAAAGAGACTGATGGTCTGATCCCCCATCCTCCTTTCAGGGTGGAGCCTGCTGGAGGCCGATTCTTGACTCCAGGTCTGAGGAAATGTAAGTGTGTTTTTCATCTGATTCATGACAACAAAGCAGCTCACATTCAACCATCTTCAAACTGTCACATCACTCATTCAGGAGTCAAAGTGTCAATAAATGATCAATAACTGCAGCTGGATTGTGTTTGTTCTCTCCATCAGATTCCTGTCAACTCACCATCGACACAACCACAGTGAACAGAAAACTCAAACTGTCTGAAGATAACAAGAAGGTGACATATGAGGAGGAGTTTCAGTCATATCCTGATCATCCAGACAGATTTAATGATCTTCAGCTGCTGTGTAGAACTGGTCTGACTGGTCGCTGTTACTGGGAGGTCGAGTGGAGAGGATATGTTCATATATCAGTGAGTTACAGAAGAATCAGGAGGAAAGGAAACAATGTAGACTGTGTGTTTGGATGTAATGATCATTCCTGGAGTCTGAGATGCTCTGATGATGATGGTTACTCTGTCAGGCACAATAACAGAGAAACTCATCTCTCCTCCTCCTGTGACTCTCACAGAGTAGCAGTGTATGTGGACTGTCCTGCTGGCATTCTGTCCTTCTACAGAGTCTCCTCTGACTCACTGATCCTCCTCCACACCTTCAACACCACATTCACTGAACCTCTGATTCCTGGATTTGGGGTCTGGAGGTCCAGTTCTGGTTCCTCTTCAGTGTTTCTGAGCTGATTTGAGTTTAAAGAGACTAAAGTTTTTCCTCCTGTCAGAGAAACTCTCTCACTGTTGAACAGATAGTTCAGTCTCTACAATCTATTTCTTGGTTAAACGATTCTGATTGGAAACTTTTTCTTCTTCCAGTCCTTTAAAGATGAAAGCTGGGATTATTCCAGGATTTTTCCAGGATTATTCCAGGATTATTCCAGGATCCTCATGTTTTTCTCTTTGTTTCCAGTAAAAGCTTCACACTGAATATCAAGATGTTGTTTCTCTTATTTTTTCCTTTCATCCATCAGATTTTATTGAAATATTGATCAGTTTTTCTCAATCTGATCATTTTCTTTTTCTATCAGCTCCTATTTTTCTCAACATGTCAGATTTGAATATTAAATCTTCCTTTTGTAAATTTGCTGCAGTTTTTCTTCATGTGTTTTAAATAAAAACATTTTTCTTCTGCATTTGGTTCATTTGCTGCTCATTCTGTTCTTTTCCTGTTCAAATTTAAATATTTGCATTAAAAGATTTTTTCATCAACTCTGCCTTTCAGAAAGTCCTAATTGAAGTAAAACATTCCCATCCCATGAAGGTCAGAGGTCAATGCTTTGAAGCATAAAGTGGGAAAATCTAAATCTTTTCTGTTTCATTCAGAACATCTACCTGAAACTCAGAACCTGCAGAACATTTTTCTCTTAGGAGAAAAAAATCCCAGGAACTGGAAGATCAGAGCAGAATGAAAACTGGAGATCAGTGTTGGACAGAAAAGGTCTGATCGCTGCATCTCTGCTATATTTTACATCTGATAACAAAAAGTAAACCTGTTTATAGCTGAGAATAAATCAACATGGACATGACCCGCCACAGTGCCAACGTGGGCCACACCTGATTCAACCCAACGTGGAAAATAAAGGATTTAATTGGAAATCCCAAAACACAGTAAAATCTGCAGCTGGTTGGGATTTAAATGCAGTTTGTTGCAGAGGTTCAAACTTCCTGATGGTGACCTCTCCTCCGTCCCTCACCTTGTCTGGCTGCTTTTAATCCTCATTGCAGTGTTAGACTGGAGCTAATCTCTCAGATTAAACAGATTAACACTGAGCTGCAACAGGAACCAAACGTCTCTTCTCCAACTTATTTCACTGATTAATAACAAGGTTGGATAAAAACATTGAGCTTCTCATTCCTTAAAGATCATGAAGAAAGACTCACCCTGTAACTGCAGGAAATAAGTTAGAAAGTTTAAAATAGATGGAAAAACTTTGTAAATATATTCTAACAAGTGATTTAATTTTCTGTTTTTGTATCTTTTAATGTATAAAACTGTATAAAAAAGGTGTAAATGGTTAAATGAAAAATCTTCATGATGAGCCAATTTTAAATCTGATTAATCGTCACAATAACTGAATAATCAGCAGAATAATCAATTAATTGTCAAAATAATCTTAAACATTGGGTCATTTAAATACAGGTTTGTTTAACCAAATTAGTTTCCACCAGTTAATTGGGGTTTTTACTGGTTATTCTGCTAGCTTGAATGTTTCACTGCAGTTTGTTTTGTTCCTGTTGCCTCCAAGCTGAACGTTGATCCCATGAATGTTTCCCCTCATGCAGAACCTGAGCAGAGACATTTATGATTATAGTACGAGAGCCAAGAGGTGGAGGACCGGCTGCTGGTGTCGCCGTCTCACGTTCTGATGTCTCCAACCAAACACTCCACCCTCAACATCAACATTTAAAACATGCTGCAGCAATGCAGTTTTCCTACTTTCCCACTTGAAACAATCTAGTCTAAATGTTACATACGGGGATGCATCGATATGAAGATTTGGGCCGAAATATTGATGTATTGACTGATTACGGATATTTACACTTTCAAATTTGGACTAAATTCATCAGGAATTTGGTCCATTAAAAGTGTTAATAATAACAGCAAAAGCTTCTGCTGTTAATTGAGGAAAGTCTGTTTCCACTAAGAACTGTGAGTGTTTCCTCCAGTCTGTGTTCGGCTTTAATCTCCTGCAGGAAACCAAACCTCCACGTCTCCACTGGAGTCACCGTGGCAAAGCCTTTCAAAACATTAGGATAGTGGGTCGAGACCGGACGAGAGCCGATGAGTTGATTTATTTAGCTGCATTCATCCATTCATCATCCCAGTTTTCCTGCCATGCAGATTAATCTCCACTAATCTGACAGCTTGGAGACCAAATGTCACAAACTGGGATTAAGATGTTGAGATGTTGAAATCTGTCACACAGAGAAAAGAAACTTCATGATGCTGTGATTTGTTCATCTGAAAAACTTTTTAATCTCATGTAATTTGATTAAAGTGATTTTTGCATCAGTTAATTGAATTGATTTTGGCTCATTTATCTTGTTATATCCAGTAAATTCATGTGCAAGAAAGAGCTAAATTATTATGATGTCTTTTCTAGAAAACCCCTCAAAAATCTTACATTTGCTCAGTGAAGGTGTAGATAAGTGTCTGTAGTGTAAGTGATTGAAAAACCCAACAAAAAAATGCAGATTTTCCATGTGAAAGCAGGTAAAGTGTAGAAACAGGAGCACTGACAGTCTATCTGTTCAGGAGGATTGTTCAGCCTCCGTCAGAACAGTGATGGTTCAAATCTTCTCTCCACTTCGACCACTGGACCAGCAGCAGGTCTTTGGTTGCAGAGCCTTTCAGAAACATCTGAACCAGCTGTTGAACTGGACCATGTCCTCTTCGGGGTCAGAGGTTGCAGGACTTGATACTTGGTAGAGTGAAGTTTTCCTCCTCGCTCTGTTGTTGTGGAGTTGGAGGTCTGATCTTGGAGGTCTGATGGACGTCACAGAGAGGCTCTGGTTCTCCCTCAGTGGCTGCTGGGGATTCAGGTTGTTCCTTCCTGGACTTTAGCAGTTGTGTTGGTCATGAGCAGCAGCTGGATTGGCCTCTGGATTGAACTCAGCCAGCATTTGGAGCTCCAGAGCTTCCTCTGAAAATCCTTCATCACGACCCGTCGCCTGGTCTGATGGAGGCAGCAGGCCTTTGGCAGGAAATGGCAGGAAGGTTTTCACTGTCTGTGGGGCTTCACAAAGCCTAGTGGACAGGCTTTCACAATAAGACAACACAGGAACAATCTTTATCTATTTCATTTTCAACCTTAGTTGGTGAGATTTGACAAAAATCCAATATTAAGTGGACAAAATGTGAGTCAGGTAGAAAAAGTGCAAAGGATTGAAGCATCTCAACATCAGCAAGTGTGAAAGAAGGGGCAGTTACTACCTGAGGCCTCTGGGCAGCTAGCTTAGCATCAGCATCAGCTCTTGCATCATCATTGGAAACCGAGTCATCCATCATCCTGTTACCAAACAGAACCTCCATTCATTATTTTACCCATCTACACTGTAAATTATAACATATTTATGTGAAAACGATGGTGAATCAACTGAATTTGGTCCAGATTTATTTTTGTGGTAAAACTCCAATTAAAGGAAGCCTAGTAAAGGTTTAAGTTTATTGTAAAGTCCAATTTTAAGTTTAGTTTAAAACAGTAAGTGATGAATCTGTTTTCAATGGATTTAATTAATCCAAAACATTGTGTAGCATATTATGTGACATTGGGGATCAACCAGCAAAGCATCCCATGATGCATTTCATCAAAAGCTTCATACATTATATTGTGCATTATGTCATAACAGAAGCCATTTGCTATTTCCATTCAGTAATTTCCAAAGAAAGAATTTAAAATCTTCAGAAGCTTGACTTTAATTGTTTTGTTTTTTAAGTAAAGAGGAAGGAATGGAATCTAAAGCAGCTAGAATGTTGGTTTTATTAAAGTGTTTTATGTCAATGAAAAAGTAATTTATACAATTAAATCCCTTATTATTCTACAAAGTAACTAAAATATTTAAAACCCATTTAAACTGTTTTATTAATCTTTAATATGTAAATACTAACAATAAAAATTAATGCTCAGTTATTATATAAACATCCATTTATTCTATCAAGCATGGCAGGTTTTTTCTTTCTTCCTAAACTCTGTGAAACTCAAAGGGAGGGGTGATAATGATGAGCTTTGCTATGGAAACTGAAGGCGGGAACAAATCCAGCAGGTGGGAGGAGCTAGGAGGTGTCAGTCTCAGACAGGTCAAAGGTCGACTGTACGCAGTCCTACTTCCTCCTCACACTGTTAGAATCAACAGAGCAAAATATCATTTTGGTTGCCAAAGTATGAAAAATTAAAATTACCATCCTGAAGACAAACTAATTTCTCAGATCATCTCATGCAATATTCCTTTAGAAACTTAAGCTGCTTAATCAAACACTAACTAATTTTAGTTTAGTGAACAATATTTACCAAACACAAAACACAAACATTCACTTCAACATGAAACAGACAAACAAATAGTCAGAATTTGGAATCAGTCAAAATTTCATCCCAGTCAATAATTTCCAGTCAGTCCTCATTTTGTCTATTTTCTCAGAATGTAATTATCAAATTTACTGAAGCTTCAAGATTGTCTGATTTTTCTCCTTTTAACATGTTTTAATGTTTGAACTGAACTCTAATCTACAGGATGCTGTTTTAAGTGATGTGTTCACAGTCAAAG